TAAAATCAGAATTTGCAGACTCTTTAGAGATAACTCTTCAAGTTATAGACAAATTTGTATTATTAATATTATTTTTAATCATTTCTATAACCTCTGGATCATTAAATATAGCTAGAATAATTTTTTGAATTTGTGAATTGATAATTATATCTGATTTCTTTTGTATTTTTTGTAAAGAACATTGAATTAGAGATTCGAGACTCTGTCTCTTCTTTGAACTAGACTTTTTAGATAATGATTTATCCAATTTACTCTTTCACTTTACTTTTTTTTTGATTTAACAGTATTGATAATTTTCATGATTTCAGTCTCAATTAAGTCATTCACAGAATTAAATTTTGATTCAGAACCAGACTCAGAGTCAGAGACAGAATTGGAATCATTATCAGAAGAGCTAGTGCTAGACTCAGAATCTGAATCTTTAGTAGCTATATTAACCTTATTTTTTTTCTTGGATTTGCTTTTATTAGAATGTCTAGACTTGTTTTTCTTTTTATTTTTAAGACAGTTATGAGAATTATGACCTGTTTTACCATACTTTAAATATTTATATTGAGAAGATTTTAAAATAGCATGTATTACTTGAGCTAATTTTGCTTGATTAATATCCAACTGTTCAAGCTGTAATCTTAAATCTTCAACTGGATTATAGTCATAGTCCTCAGGTAATAGTAGATCTCTGTCATTAGAAATACTATCTAAAAAATGATCTATAGTAAGATCATCAGCTTTTTATTTTTCTGATCTGGGAGATTTCTTCAAAATTTGTTATTCTTTAGCAATAATTCTCTTCAAATCTGCTATAATTTTTTTGAAATTATTTTGTGAAAGCATGATCTGGTTCTCCTGAGACTTAAAAGAGATAGTTTGCAAGATAGGTTAAGATTGCTCAGATAATATCATAGATTTTATCAAGTTTTTAACTTCAGCTTCAGTCATACTTGTATTGCTTGAATAATTATTCTTTTTGTGATCTTTACTAGATAATACTGAATCTGAGTTTGAATGTAGATAAGTTTCAGATAATTATTCTGTTGTATATCTTTCAATTTCTTCAAGTTTCGGAAGTAACTCATCTGGAGATTTTTTGATTTCTAAATGATGAACTTCTATCTGATTGGCAAGTAAAAGTTCATAAAGAAATTGTAATCGAATTTGTTATTCATCAATACCAATAAGCCTAGCTAATCTACATAAATTAGAATAGAAATGGCCAATGAGATCACTTTCTTAAACTGTTGAATCAAAAAGTACTTATTATTTCTCCGCAGTAACTGTAGAATAATTAGTTCTAAATCAATATAATACTTATCCAAGATAAATACCAGATATAACTATAGTATTACCTGTATTAGCATTGGGTACATTGGGTAAAGAATCAGTTAGTTGTCCATTAGCAAAAGACCAATCTTTATCAAATACTATATGAGCTGGAATTATAATATTACTATTCTGTCTATTTGTATGATTTAAGATCTATGCTCTAATTTGATTAGTATTTCTTTCTTGAATACTAGCTAAATTTACTTACATTATATTATCAAGTAAATTTCTCAATTCCTAATTTTTTCTGTGAATGGTTCTTTCATACTAATCTTTAGTATCACCTTTGAGAGATGCTATAAAAATACCATAAGTATTAATTCTATTAGCATGTTCAGCTCCTATATCTATTCTAGAACTTACAAGTCATAATCTAAATTCTTCAATATGTTTTTCAGGATCTTCAATAGGATATCCATGAAATTTTTTTAATTTATAACCCATCATACCTGTTTGATTATTATTATAATTCTGTAATATATTATTCTGTAGTAATAAAATTTGGGCTTGTAAATTTAAAATTAATTACTATGAATTATGCTTCTTATTTTTTCACTTAATATAACTTGCCTTCCAATTCTTGAATTTATTGTAATATCTATCAAAGAGCTGATCTTGATTATATTCTAATAATTCTTTATCAGTCTAGCATTATTATAGCTCCTGTTCTAAGTGATGAATAAATACCTTATAAATAATTTTAAGAACATATTTGAGTTTTGATTGTTTTTCTAATATCAAGATAATATTATATTACAAACACTTTCACATATCATATCTTTGTTATAAATCTCTACTATTGATATGATATCATTATAATAATAATTGAATAGTGAACTTTTCTCGAATTAATTCACCAACATATTTATTTTTATCATGATATGAGAACTACCAGTGATAATATTCTTCCTATTTATTATTATAAGCTATAGTTATCAAAGTAAGATCATTCTGATAATTATCACACTTATAAGTAAGTCAGTTAACTTGATTTCATAAATTATATCGCTCTTGAATAATTTGATTAACTTGATTCTGTAAATTATCTCATTCTTGGATAATCTGATTAACTTGGTTCTGAAAATTATTTTGGATAAGCTGATTAACTTGATTTTGCAAAATGATATTCTGTTGTCTATAGAAATTAATATCCTACTATAGCTGGACTATCTAATTATTATATTATCCCATTGAGCTATAATACCATCTATATTCTGATATGCAGATTGATAATTAAGATAAACAGCATTTAAGAAATCTCTAATACTATTTATAATATTTATAGGATTATTTAATAGTATTCCAACACCTTTAAGATAATTTTCAATATGATTCAAGTCTCAATTAATTTGTATAAAAAGATCAAGATTCATCATATCTATGTCTTTCTCTTTTGAATTATATAAACTTGAAGAGCTTCTTTGAGAAGAAATAACTTTGAATCTATATCTTAGATTTTGAACCTGCTCTTCCAATTCTTGTAATTACTTCTCTATACTATCAATATAAAATATCTTGTCTCAGATCTTCTTTTTAGCTTGATATAAGCTTTTTTTAAGAGATGATATTTCTGATCTCAACTCCATCTTTTCTTCTTCTGAAACATTCTCAAGCTATTCTAGTTCTTTATTGAGAGATTGAATTTCATTCTCACACCAGGTATATTTATGTTCCAGATCCTTTATATATTTCTCATTCGACTTATTGATAGCTACCTCTGATTGTAATATCTCCTGGAGTTGTTGATTAATTTGCTCTAGCTTGAGTTCTTTATCTATAGCTGATCTATAAGTTATTTGATTAGGGGGTCATGGTCTATGAAATGTCATATTATTACGAAGTAATGAGACTTTATCTTTATTTTATATGGCATATTATATTGACTTATCTTTGACTTTGCTAAATATAATTTTTACTATAATAAGTAATGTTAAAAATGAGTAAATTGAGCAAGTCTATTATTAGAATCAATCCAGATGAGAAATTACAAATTATTCTGGGCATACTTTTTTACTGATCTACTGATTATTATTCTAATATAAAAGCTTTAAGAGATATATATAAAAAAGAAGGATATAAATTCTCATATAAAAAAGTTTGTGAATAGTTACATAACCAGAATGAATGACAAAAGTATGCTCTGTCACTGAAAAATATTTCATGAGTTAGTTATGATAAAATTTCATGTCCAAATTATGTACATATATATAATTTATTTTGTCTTATAAATGATATTATTAATAAAAAGATATATAAATGAGCACTCACTATTATAGATATTATATCATGTTTTAAATGCGCTATTCTTTTTATATTAAAAAATAGCTTAGATATTGTCAAAGCCTTCAAAAAAATTTATAATAATTTATCAAATCCACTTATATGGCCAATACTTCTATAATACAACCAAGAATGTAAATAGATGGGTGAGATGAGTAAAATAATGGAAGAATATAATATAATAATTAGATTAATTAGCATATATAGTTATTGGAGTCTAGTAATTGTAGACAGATTCTGTAAGATACTTGTGAAAATGCTTTATAAAATTTAATATAGTATTGAAAGTATATCCTCAAACCCTAAATTAATAAGAACATGAATTAAGTATTTGCCAGAAGTAATAGATTATTTAAATAATTATCCAACATATTTTATTAAAGCTCCTGGATCCTTGAAGTAGAGGTTAGCACCAATAAAAGCTATTAAATTAGAAAAGATTGAATCTAGGTCATCTACAAAATATAAATATCCTATTAGAAAATATGAGAAGAATAGGTTGAAAAAAGATGATACAGTTTGTTATCTGCTTGCTAATACCAAATGGGAAGAAGGTATGAAGAATTAGAAAAGAGTGACAGATCTCACATTCAGTTTAAGCATTCATAAAATTCAAAAAATTATTGTAACAAAGAATGAGCCAATTTTATATTATCTCAAAGATAATGATGATAAATATTCTCCAAAGTGGTGATTTATATGTAAAGAGCTCATATACATAGATCTAGAAAAACTTTAATATCCACCTCAGAGTATATTAAAAGAAAATACTCACTCCAGATCTGTTAATTTTATTCATATTATTAATAAAATAACCAAGGCTCAATAATATGCTGAGAAGTATGATGGAAAATATCTTGGTAAAACTGGCTAAATAAATGATTTCGATATATATCTCTGGTCATGTGAAAACAGAAATCATTAGTAAAAATATCTATATCTATTAATAATTACGAAATTTGAATAGTATCTAATTTACTTCTATCATAGTGATAAGTAAAGATGTAAATATATTTTTAAGGATCTGTTAGGTAAGAAATTTCCATCTTGTAAATTATTATTTTTGAATAGGATATAATTAAATAGGTATAATAAAGAGCTAAAATTAGTATTCAAATTCCAGAGGTCTTAGCATTTTTCTGAGAATTCAATATTCCATAAGCAAGGCAAGATAGACTTAGATAGTTAACAGATATGTGATCAAAAAAAGTGAGATATATGTAAAAGAGAGGGTATAAATCTTATTTGTATCCTATTCGATTGTAATTTATTTTCCTATATTAAAAGTAAATTGCTTAAAAAAGGATATTTGAAAAATACAAATATTAATGAACATGATAATTAATATTATCTTATTAGCTAATAATATCATACTCTGAGAAGTATAGTTCTTTTTTTCAAAAATCTAATTGTGATGGAATATTTGGATACCTTACTATTGGTACCAATAGAATATCTTTAAATTTATATCAAAGATACGTTATGATTTTATTAGTAATATCATGAGAGATATTCAATAAAACTTTTTCACATTCTTTCCATATTACATATATTAACCATCCAATATATATTAATCAACTACCTTTATCATTATATCTAGTACAGAGCAAAAAATAAAAATCATCTAACATAATATTGGTTGCCATTATTTGATCTGCAATAATTTTTCAAAATAGTTATTTATCTCTCTCTGTTTCTGAAAAATGAATTTCATTAGATTTGAAACCTATAAATTTGGAAAGTTGTTCACAAAATTCTATCATTTTATATTTACTATGTAATATTCTTCAAGAACTTGGATCTTATAGAATAAAAATAAAACTTTAAATACTTATCTGGTTTGATTAATTAATATTTTTTTTGATATAATAGATTAGTATTACTTAGTTTGAATAAGATGAAAGATAAAGGTATATCCATATATATATATAATATCAATAAGACATCTAAAAAGTCATTAAAATAAATGAAGGATAATAAGTATTTGCCAGACTGCCCATTTAGAATGCTTATAAATAGAAGCTTAAATAGTGGAAAAACTAATATGAAAATAAATCTCATGCTTGGTGACAAACTACAATACATGTTCAATGAAAAAAAAGGTAAATGATATATTAGAAATAATGATCTCAGATTAGTAGCCAAACATTTTGAATCAAAATGATGACTTATACAAAATAGCTATTGGATCTTTACAAATACTCCAAAATTATATTAAGAAGATATTACATTTAAATGGATATTACCAGATAAGATTTCAGATATAATTAAATTCTCTCTGAAATGAAGTATAGTTATTGTTTTTGAGGATCTATATGCTGAATCCAAAAAAATGCAAGAACAAATTATTCCTTACTTTATTAATGACTGGTATCAAAATATCTTATCTATATATGTGAGTCAGAAATATACACAAATATCTAAAATTATTCATAAAAATATTTCACATTTATGCCTATTTCAGAGATTAAGTAGTAGAGACAATATTAGTAGAATCATATGTTAATATACAGATGATCCAAAAAAATATCCAAGATTATTGATAAGTATTTGCGGGATCAAGAATTCATGGTTTTTGATTTTATCAAGATAGTAGATGATCTACTTGCTATTAAATTAGGTTGAGATACACTCTTAAATCTTATGTGATTTCAGATATTTTAGGAATTTTTCTGCCTCTTGCAATTCTATCTTCTTTTCTTCAATCTTACATCATAATTTTTTATTTTCATTAATCCGCTTTTCATACTCTATAGTAATTTCTCACATAAATTCTTTTTCCTTTCTAGTTTGGAAAAAGGGAAATAGTTATTCTATCTATTAACTATATATTTTTGATACTAGCTTTACCATTATCTGCTAACTATATATTTCTAACTTTAAGTAATTAATTACAAGAAAATAGATTTTTTCATTATATTCCAATAATCGCTGAAATAAAATATTAATCTCTTTCTTAATCTGGTGATTGATCTCATCCTCACATGAGAAGCAAGAACATCTATATGTCTGATCACATAAATAAATCAGAATAGTATCTTGAATTTGGGATTCTTGGTTAATCATGTCTATATGTGTCTTAACACTAGCTTTATTATTATAATTATATAATAAATTTTCAAGTAGATCTATAATTTGGATTTGTTTTTTACGCTTTCTATTTAATTCTTTTTCATATATTTCTAATGTATGATATAAATAATTCTCAATTTGATTATATTTTTCAGAAATTTGCTCTAATGTAATAAAGAATCTAGAGTGATGTAAAAGCCTATGATATGCTCTTTTAATTAGACTTTTTGGAAGTTTTACTATAATGGAGTTATAATCAGAATAAAATATTAAATATTAGTTTGCATGCAAAAAGTTTGCAGATAAAAAATTATGAAATATATATAAATAAGTTATATAATTATTAAATCAAACAAATTGAATAAATAAATATATATAATAATTAATATATCTACGTTTCTATTTCTGAAAGTTGCTTTTGAAATTTAGATCGCAATTAACTCTTTTTAAAATCTATCTAATTATACAGAATATAATATTCTTCATATTTTCTAATATAAATATCTAAAGGAATATTTAAATTATATTATTTATACATTATAATCTATTTAGTATATTATTGATCAAATTGTTCTCGAGTCTGAGGATTTTTTATTTTATGTCAAGTTAAATCTAGAAATTTTTTATTATCAGAAGTATCATTATTTCTTATTGCATTTCAAGCTTGAGTTGCTAATGATTTGGGTCTATTCTTGTAATTTCTCTAAGCTTTTTGTATAATTCTTACTTTTCTGAAATCAGTCTTTGGTTTATTATATTCATTATCCTAATATTTCTGCATCAAATCATCTGGCTTAATAATTTCAATATACCTTTTTCTAGTGAAATGGAATGATTTCTTTTGTTATACATCATTAATTTTTATAAATTTCCAGTAATCAAAGCAAATAGCCATATGATTTTTATGAATCTTTGATCTATAGTAATTAAAATTAACAAATTTACCTTTACCAAATAACATAAATAAATAATATTAATGATATACACTAAATTTTCCAGTGGTTAATAAATCTTATAATAGAATTCTTACTTGTATTGCCTATTGAACTGGTATTTTATTCTGTTTTATGATAGATAATATATTAAATAATCTCTCATTATTGAAAATTTGATTGAGTTTATTAGTATAAGTTCTATCATAATGTGATATATATGACACAGCATACTATATATCAAAACCAGGATGATTAATATATAATTTAGAAAGTGTTTTATCTTTTTTATCAATAATAATAGCGATATCAAAACCAAACATATTTATTGATTATATCATATTTAAAATATTTAAACCTATTTGATTAATAATTATATACTCTAGAATATATGATTCAAATTTTGTGCAATACTTGAAAAATGCTCCATAGGGTCTGGATTCTCAAACTATCTCTTCAAGAGTATTATAATCATTATATTTTGCAAATGATATACTTTAAACATATTATGATCTATTTTTGACATGTAGATAATTATTGTATAATCTATTTCAGATGTATTACAAGCATATAATTAGGTATTTATCAGTCTCTGACTAATTTCCTGGTATGATTCATCCAATCAGAATAATTAAAAAAACTGGAAAATTATTAATCAATCATATCACATAGAAATTCATTAATTGCGTAACTGTACTGATGATGATAATTGATTAGTGAAAATATGCACCACTCACAAAGCACATCAAAATACTGTATATCAGATTACTAAATTAGTAGAGTTAGAGGATTAATATGTATCTTGTTACTAGCCTTACTATTAATAGCTGATTTTATTATCTTGATTAATGAAAATATAAAAGAACTAATACTATAGAATATTAATATAAAGAATAACTGGTAGATTGGTAAATTGTATATTATAATCACTGTTAATTAATTAGTATGAAATCTGATTATCAGTAAAAAGCCAATGTCATGATTGGAAAGAATAAACCAAATATAATTCATGTTAAGAGAAAATATACTTATAAGATGCATAAGAAACTAAATTAATTTATTTTTATTTTGTGAAATTAAGATATATTAATCATCTTTACTATAAGATATAGTTTTATGAGTTACAAATATAAAAATGTGTGTTTTCTCAGTAAACTGGTCCTAAGATATAGAGTAATCCATATCATAACTTTTTATAATGCAGAACTCATGTAATTTCAAGTAAGTACTATAATCTATAATCATAAAAATCTCAATCATATCAGCTTTGTTATTACCTAATAAAATCAAATTATAAATCATACAAATCTATCAGAATGTTCTTGATTACTTCCAATTTTTTACTATTTTCTAGCTTTATGCTGATTCAAATGATATTTCTATATATCATAATTAGATACAATTCTGGAAATACTGAAAAGTGATTTGATGAGAAAATGACTCTCACTCAAAAAATAACAAAAAATTATCTCTGGTCCACCTTCTCACAATTTTTGCTTGAAGTCAGAAAAATAAATGTAGAATATATCAC